CTCTCTCGCACACTTTAGCGAGCCGCCTGGCTATTTTCTGTCTCTCTCGCACACAATCGCGTCGTGCAAGGCGATTTTCTATCTCTCTCGCACTTATACGCTTGGTACCTGGGCGATTTTCCGTCTCTCTCGCACTTGAAACGGGGCAACTGAGGGTGCAACCACTCTCGGAGGGTCGCGGGGGAACGCGATGCTGCTTTGACGGAAAAACCACCCAAGTCCCGCCTGGCTATTTGCTGTCTCTCTCGCACTTATACGCTTCCTACCAGGGCGATTTTCTGTCTCTCTCGCACACTCATAGGCGTCCCGCCAGGCGATTTTCTGTCTCTCTCGCACGCATAAGGGGGCTCCCTGGCTGTTTTCTTTCTCTGTCGCACACATTAGCGGGGTCCCTGGCTGTTTTCCATCACTTTCGCACACTTTTAAGCGTCCCGCAGGGCGATTTTCTGTCTCTCTCCCACAGATAAGCGGGCTCCCTGGCTGTTTTCTATCTCTCTCGCACACATTAGCGGGGTCCCTCGCTATTCTCTGTCTCTCTCGCACACTCATAGGCGTCCCGTCAGGCGATTTTCTGTCCCTCTAGCACACATAAGCGGGCTCCTTTAATGTTTTCTATCCCTCTCGCACACATTAGCGGGGTCCCTGGCTGTTCTTTGTCGCTTTCGCACACTCATAGGCGTCCCGCCAGGCCATTTTCTGTCTCTCTCGCACACATAAGCGGGCTCACTGGTTTTTTTCTATCTTCTCGCACACTCATAGGCGTCCCGCCAGGCGGGTTTCTATCTCTCTCGCCGACTCAAGCAGGCTTCCTGGCTGTTTTCTGTTTCCCTCGCACACATAAGTGGGCTCTCTGGCTGTTTTTTATCCCTCTCGCACACTTAAGCAGGCTCATAGCCTGAAATATCGCACGAAAGCTCCTGAATTTTCAACTTCTTTGACCTTCCTTATAACGTCGCTCCACTGGCGGAAGGGCGTATCAGGATTTTAAACAGAGGCGGATTTTGCAATTTGGCAACACCGGATTCCCTCCATTTAAACCTTTGTTTAACCTTGTTGTCATTTCTTGTCGGAGCACCTGACCCCTTTAAGATTCGATTCATTTTCATATGTTTAAATGGAGAAAATC